CTATGGGATTTGATCAGCACATTACTAGGGAGCCCCTGGTGGTGAAGTGGGTTAAACCCTTGTGCCAGCAGGACTGAATATTGACAGATCACAGGTTTGAATGCGGGAAGGGCATGGATGAGCTCCCTCTGTCAGCTCCAGCTCCCCATGCAGGAATATGAGAGGAACCTCCCACAAGGATTTTTATTTATTTTATTTACTTTATTTGTATACCGCACTCTCTCAGCCCGTAGGCGACTCAGTGCGGTTTACAACAAAACAATATACAAAGTGCACAACATTAGCAATTAAAACAGTAACTAAGGCAACTACATCAATATAACAATACATCAGTACATCAATATAACATCAATACATCCATATAACTAATCCATCACGTCTCATCAGTAAAGTCATAATCCGATCTCCTCGTCCATTATTCCAAGTTCCAAGATCAATCAATTAATTGCACTGCTTAATTAAACGCCTGTTCAAAGAGCCAGGTCTTCACTCTTCTCCTGAACACCAGCAGGGAGGGGGCCGATCTAATATCTGTGGGAAGGGCGTTCCACAGCCGAGGGGCCACCACTGAGAAGGCCCTGTCTCTCGTCCCCGCCAGCCGTGCTTGTGAGGCTGGCGGGATCGAGAGCAGGGCCTCCCCGGACGATCTTAATGTCCTAACTGGTTCATAGGGGGTGATGCGTTCGGACAGATAGGTCGGGCCAGAACCGTTTAGGGCTTTAAAGGCTAAAGCCAGCACTTTGAATTGAATTGATACCGGGCGTCCCCTGGGCAACGTCCTTGCAGATGGCCAATTCTCTCACACCAGAAGCAACTGGCAGTTTCTCAAGTCGCTCCTGATACAAAAAAAAGTGCATTTATCTTGTTTATTTTATTTGTATTTCTGCAATTCCTTGCAAAACCTTTCACCTTCCTTAAAGGAACAATGTATCTATTATAGCCTTCCCTTTTTTCTCTCCTTAGCTGTAAATTATCAGTATTTTCTCATAGGAGAGCTGATTTTACCATGCTATATAAGTTGAACCATTGCACATAAGATATTGTACATAATGGGTTTCAGCATCCATAGATTTTTGTAATACCACAGGCCCACTGTAGTGGCTGTGACTGTGGCTGTTGCTATTATCTATTTATCTATCAGTCTACATCCAAGATATATAGAAAGGTGTTGGAATCTTAACAGATTTATTTTTGGCTTGTTTTGTTATGATTCTGGACACAGAATTTCCTTTGTTCATACCCACTAAGCACTGGATCAACATTTTGATTGAATTATGTGCCTAGGAAGATCTTGTTTCTAGCCAGCACTCTCATTTCAGATAGATAGATAGATAGTAGGCCTGGGTAACAACGGAAAAAATTGTTTCTAAAATCGATTTGTATTTGGGGGGTTTTTTTGTTTCGATATTTAAAATAATTACAAAATTTTCCTTTTAAAAAGTTCGATATTTACGAAATTTCGTAAATGGTAAAAAATTAACGAATCGATTTCCGAAACAATAACGAATCGATTCGTTAATGGCGGACGCGACCGCGAAATACGCTAAAAAACCTCCAAAACCTTTTGAAGCTTCCCTCTCCCTCTGTTGTTGACTGTTGGTGTGATATTATAATTTTTTTTCACTAATTAAACCATAAAACTGGCCCAGACATGCGGAAATAATAACGAAACGACCTCAAAACAATAACGAAACGAATACAATATCGAAATACGAAGCATTTACAAAACGTTTTCGAAAATTCGTTTTTTTAATAATTGCTCCAGAATGGTTCGTTATCGTTTTGTAATTGAAAAAATTAACGAATTATTAACGAATTACGAATTAACGAAACGAAACCGCCCAGCCCTAATAGATAGATAGATAGATAGATAGATAGATAGATAGATAGATAGATAGATATGAAACTTTACTTTAATGTCCACTGCTTTACATTTGCTTACACTCAGCCACTGGGCAGGAAACTATATTGCATGACTGGAATATAATATCTGACTCTGGAGTTTTACTTCTTGCTCCATGAAATACAGCACTGGAGATTATGTATTGGAGAAAATTGAAAGACACTTAGCCAATGTCTCTCTAAATGCTTTCATCCAAGGGAAGATAACTATCCTGGATCTTCAGCAGGTTGTTGCCAGGTCTCCTTCTCTCCTCCTTTGGACTGCAAATACCTATGGCAGTTTAGGACTTGAAGGATTTGAATAGAGGACCCTTGAATAGAGGATCTGCATTTGCATAAACTGATTTTCTGCAACTCCAACTCCAATCAACCCACTATGCTTAGCATTATAATGTTCATTTGATGAGACATCATGATGTAATAGTTTGAGCATTAAGCATACAATTTTGGAGACCAAGGTTGAAACCCATTGAGTGGCCTTGGGCATATCACAGTCTCTCAGCCTCTGAGGAACCAAAAGGCAAATCATCTCTTGTAGTGGATAACTAGGACCACGGTTAAGAGGATCCATGCCTGGTGAATATATGCTAAACCAGATAGGTCCAGGACAAAGAAACCAGCTGACCAGGTTGAAGACAAGCCACAGAGGTCTATTACGGTTTGGCCTAAAAGGATGCAAGTACAGCAATTTGCTTCAAAATGTACAAGCATAAACATAAACAAGACCCCTTATACATTCTGACAGCTATTTAGAATTTCCGCTTCCTCCCCTGATTGGCCAGAAAAGGGAGTGGCTAGGATCCATGCTTGGATTGTCTGGATAGGAGAATGGCAGCTGGGGATTGGTCAGAGTGATGGACCAATCAGCTGCAGATGTGTCCCCTGGAAAGGTATAGTTTAGGGAAACCAAATGGTAATAATATATTGATGGGCTACTGCTGAGCTCAAATGTTCAATTCTGTGCCAAACAAAGATAGCGGCACTCTTGGAACAAAAAGGTGATGATCTTGGGCAATGAAAGGCTTCCCTGTCAATAAAGAGGTTTAATTAATGTATATACTCTGAGTCTCTGTTTCTGCAGGCACCAATCTCTCAGCTTCAAGTGAAGATAAATACTTGAAGATAAACATATTTGGGTTTATCTAGGCTGACATGGAAGTCACTTATACATGAACAATGGATTTTAATAGTTATCTGGCCTAGGAGATGGCCAGAGGGATTTCCCCAACCTTCCTGTTCTCAAGGGACTATCTCAATAGAGGTGACTGTCTCAGGGCTACATCTTGCTACATTTTATAAAGAAGTTTTATACATTCTATATATGTAAGGCATATATACAGTATACAGAAAGATACAAGCTTTGAACTTGCACAAGTATGGAAAGGGTCTTTTTTTAAATGAAAAATCATGTATTTATTTCTGAGCCCTTGGTGAACTAGAAATCCTCTGGAGGAGTCATTGTAGCTCAACAACACTCTGAAAAAATCTTGCCAATAACACATAGTGATAGTCGCCCTCAGGCTGAGAATGGCGGTATAGAAGCATAGTAAATAAATAGTTTCATTTTAGGGTCACCATAACTCGGAAATAACATGAAGGCACACAACAACACCAATAACACTCATTTGTGTTACTTAGGATAATTCTCTGTTCCTTTTTCGTTACTTGCCCTAAAATAATTGGATGTCATATTTAAATGTGATCCTGCATCTGCTTAACTCCTGACTTTTTATGAAGATCCTTACAAAACCCTCATACTTCAATTAGTTACTAGCCGGTTACAGAATCTGGTGGTCACCACATCTTGTTGCAAGTCTCATACTTTGGTTATGCACTGCGGGGAAAAGTCCTCTTTTTATCTGTGTTGAATTAGGTTGGATGAATAACTCAGAGAAAGTTATTTTTGATAAGATTTTGTCAAATGTCTTATTGTTCTGGTGGAAAGAACATGAGATTAAAAACAAGCAAGCAAATGTGTAGGAAATCAAATGGGACATCTTTATCCGTCTAGACTCAGGGGACTGAGTCTTGAGATTCTTAAAAGTCTGGGCTTGAATCCCTGTGTTTTGAGCCATTTTAGTGCAAAGTTATCTTTTTTTCCTCCTGGAAAGCCCTTCTTCTTTAAACTCCATGTGATAGGCAAGTAGAACATGGTCCTTTTCATGCAGAGAATAGGTTCTACATATTGAATTAGGTTGGTGTAAATATAGGAAAATTTAATTTCAGCTTGGCATTGAAGCATCTACTGGACACTTCAAATGTTAAAGCACTGAGCTGCTGAGCTTGTTGATCGAAAGGTCGCAGGTTCGATTCCGGGGAGCGGCATGAGCTTCCGCTGTCAGCCCTAGCTTCTGCCAACCTAGCAGTTCGAAAACATGCAAATGTGAGTAGATCAATAGGTACCGCTCCGGCGGGAAGGTAACGGCGCTCCATGCAGTCATGCCGGCCACATGACCTTGGAGGTGTCTACGGACAACGCTGGCTCTTTGGCTTAGAAATGGAGATGAGCACCACACCCCAGAGTCACACATGACTGGACTTAATGTCAGGGGACTACCTTTTTATCTATGGAAGATTTAAAAACACTAAAGAGATCAAAACATTCTTATTTCTCCATCTCCAGTAAAGAATCATCCTACCCTTACTTTTTGCCTCTAATGTTTCACTAGATTGAAAACTAATCTAGCACAATTTCTCAGATCAAGACTGCTTGTATCCCAGAAGGGCAACACAATTCTTTAAAAATACTTTGAAATCCTAGGCCTAAGTAAACACCAAATTCAGCAAATACCGGAATAACTATTTCCTCCTCTTGATGAAAAAAAAACACACAAGTTGTAATGATTCTGTGCAAGCATAATAATTATGATATGGTAATTTTTCAGCCGGAGCAGGTGATGTCTACAGGAGCTGCATGTTTTCTGGGATATCTGGAGGCAAATTGCCACTGGTGTGTTTTCCTACATTTTGTTAAAATAGTTAAGGTGGAACTAAACCTGGAAGGAGCAGCAAACTTTATGAACCTTCAGCGGTGACACCCTTACCAAAAAATATAAATTGAGATCTGTATAACATTAGTAGTACACTCTGGATGAGTGTCTGGCTTTGAGTTTGAGCTTCTTCTTTGCTTCTAAATAAGGCTGTTAGTATGGCTAGTTGTGCTCGGCATATTCCTGTAAATGTAAGAAGAAGTACAGTCAAACTTTGCTCAGATGGAAAATCTGGGACTTCTTCTGCCTTTTCCACCCACTGCACTTCCAGTGGCTTAGGCGGAGATAGTTTTTCCTGTCATAGCCATGCTGGGGATGGATCTCCTTTTGACTCTACAATTGGCCAAGGCACTTTTTCGAGACGCAGTTGTAGCAGTGTATTAGTTGGTGGCGGCGGCTATGGGAGGAGAATGAGTACTGGGAGTTGTCTTAATGGCAGCCATGGTGGTTACCCTTTGCTTGGATATGGTGATGGGCAAGTGTCCACAGGTGGTCTGGGTAGAGTCCCATCAACCTGTGGCATCATCTTTTCTTCCACCCATGAGAAAGTCCTCATGCAGAACCTCAATGACCGTCTGGGCAGTTACATAGACCAAGTGAGATGCTTGGAGAACGAAAATGCAGCCCTTGAATCCCAGATCAGTGACTTCTGTGTCAAGCATGGTCTTACTGGTGAAGTGAAGGACTGCAGACACCTTTACCAACAGATTGAGGAACTTAAAAAACAGGTAGGGCAATCTAGTTTGGGGTTATTCCCATAACTATAATGGATTATGGTAACTTAAAGATAGAAAATCATTGGCCTCCAGATGTTGTGACCAACTCACATTAGTACCATACATCATGGGTAGTTGTTAGGCATGATGTGATTAGAGCATGGTGACTTCTATGGGGCCATAGACCCTTCTCTTTGTATTAGACCAGAGTGAATTATGAGTGTCCCATGGGCTATTTGGAGCTCCATTAACCTTTTTCCATCATGAAAGTCCTCTTCTTATCAACCAAAAGAAAAGCATGCCATTATTGGGATCTGGCAGTGTGAGCAAGCAGGATTTACTTTGCTACTGAATTGCATGTGAAATTGCAGATGGCGTCATTTCTAGGAGAGAGAGAAGCAACTGCTGTTTAGACAAAATATGATTTCCCCAGAGATTGTCTCCTGCTCTTGGCAGAAATATACATATATGCTCATCTGTGAATGTACTATTGAGTTCTTGGGAAGTATTCAAGAGACTGGCTGTCCCCATGTTGTTGGGGCAATATCCAAATTATCTGAGATAGCTCCTTATCCCTAGATTTCAGCCTTCATTTCTCCAGTATTTAGGGGAATCCCTTCCGATGCTCTTCTCATTAATTTGTGGCCACTGAGGACTTATTGTTGTAACTCCCTGCCCTTGCCCTTGGAATGCTGCATTCCTGTTATGGAAGCACATGTACCAAAATTTCTATTTTTCATGCATGCTTTCCTCCAGAGTCCTAATTTAATACTCAAATCCCTCCAGCATGCTGACTCTCTAAGAAAGATATAAGTATTATTAAATTAGAGGTGGGAAGCTGTGGTCTTTCATGTGACATTGAGCTCGAACTCCTAGGAACACTAGAGAGAATAATCAGTAGTGAAGACTGCTGCACTCGGTTTCTCTGCTTGTATAGTAGTGTCTTCTACCCAGAGAAGCTCAGTTGAATGATCAAAGCAAGTAAATCCCCATTAACTTTTGAAGTTTTAGACGTTAATTTGTGGTTTTGGACTTATTTGTATGTGGTAGTTCTGCACAGAAGATAGGATTTTCCATACTGAAGATATTATTTTAAATACTGAAATATTTTCTGTACAGAAAATGCATGGATTTTGCATGGAGTAAATCCTAAATAGTCAATATTTTCATCAATCCAGGTTTCTCTTTGACATGACACTTTAAAAAACTACATTCAGCTTTTAAAATAATCCAACATTCTTTCCACATATTCTGAATGAATGCAATCAAAATTAGTGAGCGGAGAAAGCCAAGACTGTAAAAAATAAAACTACAGGGAGGACTTCAGGGGGGAAGTTTACTTGCTTTGCCTACAAGAAGTCATATGGTGATTATTTCCCCCCCCACTAACGCAGGGTGTATTTGAAAAATGAGAATTTTCCATCTGAAGTCTGATGGATATTATAGTGGATTGTAATGCAAGATGATTGTGGAAGGAGTGCTCCCCTGAAGGAGTGAATTCCCCAAATTAAAATGTCAAAATCAGGAAAGCCTTGTTCTGCATACATACCATGATAGTGTAACGCAACAGAACATCTGTGGGGGCTCTCAATGGTACAATCCAATGCAGTATCCTATCATGTTATATCTGTGAACCACATCTTTTTCTCTTCTAATTCCCTCTACAGGTTTTTGAAGCTAATCTGGTGAATAACAAGATACTCCTCAAGATTGACAATAATCACATGGACCTAGAAGACATGAGAAAGAAGTATGTATATATCCGAACCTGATAAGAAATGTCTCCCTCTTTGGTAAAATCTGAAATCTTATTAATCTTCCTTCATTAATACTGTAAAAATTTTTTGGCTGAGATGGAGAAGAGATCTGTAAAGTTTTCGAACAGGGAAACAAGAAAGGAAAGGAAAAAAAGGAACAGTGGAAGAAGAGAGAGTTATCAAACAACATAGAGTTAATAGGCATCATATGATTATAGGAGGAATGGACCCATGTCTTCTGGGCACTTTATTTTATTTTATTTTATTTTATTTGTGGCATTTAAATGCTGCCCTTCTCACCACAAAGGGGACTCAGAGTGGCTTACAAGTAAAAAGTAAGTAGAATATATTATATTATTATCAGCACAATATTAATATTATATATTACATTGTACTATAACATTATACTGTAATATTAGTAATATTACATTTAATATAAAATATATAATTATAATATCACTTTATTATTAGTAGTAGTATATTGTTTTATATTATAATATTATCAATATTATATGTATATACAATATATTATATTATATGTATATACCAGGGGTCCTCAAACTTTTTAAACAGAGGGCCAGGTCACAGTCCCTCAAACTGTTGGAGGGCTGGATTATAATTTGAAAAAAACATGAATTCCTATGCACACTGCACATATCTTATTTGTAGTGCAAAAAAACACTTTAAAACAATACAATAATTAAAATGAAGAACAATTTTAACAAATATAAATTTATTAGTATTTCAATGGGAAGTGTGGGCCTGCTTTTGGCTGATGAGATAGGATTGTTGTTGTGTGCTTTCAAGTCAGACTTAGGTTGACTCTGAGCGAGGGCCGGGTAAATGACCTTGGAGGGCCGTATCCGGCCCCCGGGCCATAGTTTGAGTATCTCGGATTAAAAGTTTTAAAACACTGGGTGATAGAACAATATAATATACATATCCAGCCCCTGGGCCTTAGTTTGAGGACCCCTGGTATATACAATATATTATATTACATTATATTATATTATATTAAGCACAGTGCAGGAGACAAGATGGAACTGCCTTCCTGGCCCCTCTCTTCGCACTTCCAAGTATTCTTTCAGTCCAGTTTGTACTAGATATATGCAGATCAATTCTATTATTTATTGGGAAAATATACGTTTTGATGACTGTTTCCCTGGATGTATGCATTTTCTACACATTTCCCCTAATATATGAAATTTTGTATAAACTTATTGAGCAGAGCACTGCATGACAAAATTCAGAGAAATGGGACTCCAGAAATGTAACCTTGTTCCAATCCACATATTATTCTGGGAATCTGAATTAGAGAGTTTATCGCATGAGACAGGGAAATTGCAATTGCAACAGGACAGCAGCAACTTTGCCATTATCACAAGATGTCGCTCCTTTCTCACTGCTCTCCTAGTGGGAATCAGCCTGGAAACCGCATCTTTTATAAACACAATAATCTATTAATAGCTTCCTTTTGCAAAAGGAATGCCTTTCAGTTGTCTCTCACCAGGAGAATGGCGGGAAAGAAGTGACTTTATGTTCAAAACAAAGACACTGCTGTAATTGTGATTAACCTGCCTTATGTGATAAACATCCAGGTCAATTGGGACCAAACAAAATCACCCCTTCCCCTATCAATACAGAAAGTTCGTTTTTGATTTTTTAAAAAAATCAAAAACACATATTTTTTCATGTCCAACAGGAAAAAACTATGAGAATGGGGAAAAATGAGAATGAATAAAATTGGATAAATCTGATAGATTTGCCTGTTCAGGTCTCAGACTTTCAATGATCACATTTTTCTGTATTCAGACCTTTCTTCTTATCATGGTTAAAAGCAATATCCATTGCACACACAACATGGTTTTTATCATGCTGGGAATATCTGCTGTTATTTGGTTTCCTTATAGAATTTCATTTCAGTTGGTTTTCAAAGAATTTACTAAAATTCACAAAGCACGGGGAAAGAAGTGGACATTTTTCAAAACCAAACTGAGTCAGGAGAAAGCAAAACTGACAATTTTCTCTACTTTACATTCTCATAGAAAATTTAATTACCCTTAATTGAAACAGGTCTGATATTTTGGATACCATGTGCTGTTTTGCTTGCCGTGATTCATTCTGCTTTAATTTGATGTTAAAGAACTCGTAGGTGGAGCAACAGCTAGGACAAGATGTAAGAACCCAAAAGCTATGTTCCAGCACATATCATACTCAAATCAGCCTCTGCTCATTTCCATCTATGAGGAAACGCCTGCCAATTTTAGTTTGTCATGAACTGTAAAATGCCAGTTTTGGCAGCTTATCGTAGACTGTAAGAAGGAAATATCCCTTGGGCTGCAGTTCTATTTCCTTGACTCTTGCCTGTATCATTAAAGATAATGTTATTAAGACTGAGCTATGGTGGACAGCATAGTATGTCACAGTGCATATGTACATATATCTTGGCATTTGGGTATATTGCAACAATGTGTGTGTGGATGGTTGTGCTGTGTGGATGGATTTTTTGGTGGTTGGAATGGTGGGAATTTGTGTTTTGATAATGTTATTAAGACTGAGCTATGGTGGACAGCATAGTATGTCACAGTGCATATGTACATATATCTTGGCATTTGGGTATATTGCAACAATTCTTAAATCCAGTGAAAACATTTTTAATCAATTGGTTTTTTACCTGATGCCTAGCCTCCAACCCTCTTTCCCCAACACTGGCCATGTTTACAAGGGCCAAAAATAAATGGACTCGCTTTGCAACTGTTATCCACACTTTGTATGGCTGGTTTCACAGCAGAAACATTGCTTTCAACCATGAAAGGGGAACCACATGAAACCATGAAAGGGGAACCACAATTTATTTCAGAGCTAGGAAGGTTTGGAATTATCTCACTGCTTTTGACATGTGGACTGCTGGATCCAGTCCAATGCACTGTCCACATGTCCAACATACCACCACCATGATGCTAGCTAAAAGCAGCTTCCCAGCAGAGTTTTGCTAGTAACATTGCTTTTCTTGGTCACAGGGTTGGATACCCTGTTGCGACCTAATCAGAAGTCATGTTGTCAGCCAAGCTCTGCAACAGTGCTGGTTTTGGCCAGTGAAGCAGCAGCAATGGTGGTCCATTGCACTTTCAGCCTGGCCAGCCATCTGAAGAACAAACGGACTCCAGAAATGCTCCATTTTCTATAGGATTTTTACATCTGACTCCCAGAATGGTGTGAAAAACATGATGGATAGGTTTAGTTATTGAAGTAAGTATGCTCATTATACTCAATAACATTAAAAAGGGAAGATTTGTTGAGCTTGAGTTTTATTGCTACACTGGAGCTAGAAATGTAAGCATGTTAATTGAATAAGTCCAGTGACCTAATGAATGTACAGTTTTGGAGACCTTTCTTTGGTTAATCTAGATATGAGACTGAATATGTCATCCGTGAAAATGTGGAAGCTGATGTAAACGGATTACGCCCTGTTCTAAATGACCTCACTAGCTATAAGGCTGACCTTCAGGCTGAGCTCAAGTCACTGAAGGAGGAAATATGTGACCTCAAGAAGACCCATGAAAAGGTAGATTATTGTGCTCATCAAAATCTAACCCATTTCATTCATCAAAAGAATTGTAATCATTATTTGTTTATTATAGTTCTCCACATGAAAATGTATGGGTTGCCAAAGGTTATAAGGAGGGGAACAGGAAGGCACATTTAACAACGTTGTTTAAAATGAAAGGTGATTGTAGAAGGAGCTCTCCCCTGAAGGGGTAAGTTCCCCAAATCAAAATGTCAAAACCAGGAAAACCTTGTTCTGCATACATACCATGATAGTGTAACACAATAGAACATCTGAGGAGTTCCCAATGAAGAGAGAAGGCTCTTGTAGGATTAAGTGATGTTCATATAATTGTCTAGGGCAGGGCTACACAACCTGCAGCCCTTCAGATGTTTGGGCCTCCAGCTCCCAGAAGCTCCAGCTGGGTGGGAATTCTGGGAGCTGAACTCCAAAACCCCTGGAGGGCCACAGGTTGTGCAGGCCTGGTGTAAGGTCTAGGACAAGGGTCCCCAAACTAAGAGCTGTGGGCTGGATGTGGTCCTCCAAGATCATTGACCTGGTCTTCACCCTTAACTTTAAATTGAGGGTCACCCTAAGTCTGAAGCAACTTGAAGGCACACAAAAACAATCCTAATTAATTCAACTATATCATTAGCCAAAAGCATGGGAAGCCCACCTTTCCCATTGAAATACTGCTAAGTTTATGTTGGTTAAAATTGTTCTTCCTTTTAAATATTGTGTTCTTCTGTCATTTTTTTTGCACCACATATTAGATATATGGTGTGTGCGTGAACATTTGTTCATGTTTTTTTTCAAACTATAGTCTGCCTCGCTAACAGTATGAGGGACTGTGAACTGGCCCTCTGCTAAAAAAATTGTGGACCCCTGGTCTAGGGTTTCTGTCTACAGGTTACTGTCTGCAGTCTTCCTCATATTGAATTTAACCAAATGGCAGTGAAGATCTAACAATGGTGAAATAGGCTCCAAATCTGGACAGGCGGGGTATTCCTTCAGAAAGTGTATACATTATGGAATTTGCAAGCACATGCAATACTGTAGGCTACTGACTTAGCTTTAAAAGGGTTCAAAAAATTGTATGGAGCAAGGCAAGTCATTATGGCTATTAGGCTTGGGCCCGAATCAGCTTGAAAAAAAAATTATAATATTTGGTGGTCCGTTTTATATAATCTCCGAAAACAGAATAGGAAGGAGCAAACGGCAATGCCCAACATTTTTTTTTAAGGTAGCCTGATTTTATTGGATGGAGTTAAGTCTGAAATACACTTGAGTCTGGAGTCTGTCGCGGGCCTCCTAGAGAAGATGGGATTAAATGTAGTGTCTTTTCTCCCTCCCCAGCAGCAGTGTCCATTCATTTCTTTTTGGAAAGTTTCTTAGGCTCCTCCTTCAGAGAGGGCCCTGCTGGGAACTCACTTTCCCAGCAGCACTTGCATGGGGTGTGCATTGAAAAGTCTCTGAGTTTCTCTCGGAGCATGATGGGAACAAAATACTGGAGTAACTAAGTAGGTCACTGGTCTGACCCAATAGTGCTCTTCTTACGTGTATGCTTTTATATACAAAACATGCATTTTAATGATACTTTGCAGGACTTGGCCTGTCGGAAAAAACCATCACATGGCAGCAACAAAGAAGCCAGCATTTGCCCTGGCCGAGATCTGAAGAATAAGCTGAAGGAAATGAGACAAAAATATGAAGCAAAGATAGAATCAAACCGCAAGGAGGCTGAGGAACGGTATGAAAACAAGGTAAAGACTGCAAGAATAAAATTTAAAAGATGGCAGCTGGATGGGGAAAGGGCAAGATTGGCAGAGGTAGTATTGGGCTATGGGAGACCTCATCTTCATTTTCATGGTTGGTGGGTAGGAGGGGGAAGAACAATCAAAACAAATGCATAAATGCAGAATATATTCAAACAACACAACTTAATTTCATTTTAAAATAATGATAACATACACTGGTATTTAAGATCAGTATTAGGGCTGGGCGGTTTCATTTCGTTAATTCGTAATTCTGGAGCAATTTTTTTAAAAAAACGAATTTTTAAACACGTTTTGTAAATGCTTTGTATTTCGTTATTGTATTCGTTTCGTTATTGTTCTGAGGTCGTTTCGTTATTATTTCCGCATGTCTGGGGCAAGTTTTTTTGTTTAATTAGTGAAAAAAAATTATAATATCACACCAACAGTCAACAACAGAGGGAGAGGGAAGCTTCAGAAGTTTTTGGAGGTTTTTTAGCGTATTTCGCGGTCGCGTCCGCCATTAACGAATCGATTCGTTATTGGTTCGGAAATCGATTCGTTAATGTTTTGTAATTTTTTTCACATTTACGAAATTTCGAAAATATCGAACTTTTTAAAAGGAAAATTTTGTAATTATTTTAAATATCGAAACAAAAAAAACCCCCAAATACAAATCGATTTTAGAAACAAATTTTTCCGTTGTTACCCAGGCCTAATAGTATCTTAGTGATGGGGAGATATTGGAAATATAAATATTTATACATATATTGTATATACATTACAAGCACTGAAATATAGAAAAACCAGGTTCTCTCTGTATTAGAAAGTCAAGCTGAAAGGACAAAGTGAAGCTGAAGTATCTTTGTCCAAGACACAGCAAGAGGGGGGTGAACATTCCAGTGGGGGGAGATAAGAAAGTCCTGGTACTAACAGATATAAGTAAAAGTAAGGGGCCTGTCCCCCTCCCTCCTGACAGGTCAAAAGTAGGCCTCTTTATGGATCTAAGCTGAATCCTAGTTATCTCTAAGCTGCTCCTTAGAAAAAATACTGAGACATGCCCTTGCATGTAGAAGATATAATTAGTAGGCCTGGGTAACAACGGAAAAATTTGTTTCTAAAATCGATTTGTTTTTGGGGTTTTTTTTGTTTCGATATTTAAAATAATTACAAAATTTTCCTTTTAAAAAGTTCGATATTTACGAAATTTCGTAAATGGTAAAAAATTAACGAATCGATTTCCGAAACAATAACGAATCGATTCGTTAATGGCGGACGCGACCGCGAAATACGCTAAAAAACTCCAAAACCTTCTGAAGCTTCCCTCTCCCTCTGTTGTTGACTGTTGGTGTGATATTATAATTTTTTTTCACTAATTAAACCATAAAACTGGCCCAGACATGCGGAAATAATAACGAAACGACCTCAAAACAATAACGAAACAAATACAATATCAAAATACGAAGCATTTACAAAACGTTTTTGAAAATTCGTTTTTTTTAATAATTGCTCCAGAATGGTTCGTTATCGTTTTGTAATTGAAAAAATTAACGAATTATTAACGAATTACGAATTAACGAAACGAAACCGCCCAGCCCTAATAGATATTACTCTATCATAGTCACCTACGGATGTGAGAGCTGGACCATAGGGAAGGCTGAGTGAAGGAAGATAGATGCTTTTGAACTGTGGTGCTGGAGGAAAGTTCTGAGAGTGCCTTGGACAGCGAGAAGATCCAACCAGTCCATACTTCAAGAAATAAAGCCTGACTGCTCATTGGAGGGAAGAATAGTAGAAGCCAAGATGAAGTACTTTGGCCACATCATGAGAAGAAAGGAAAGCTTAGAGAAGACAATGATGCTGGGGAAAATGGAAGGAAAAAAGGAAGAGGGGCCGACCAAGGGCAAGATGGATGGATGGTATCCTTGAAGTGACTGGATTGACCTTGAAGGAGCTGAGGGTGGTGACAGTCGACAGGGAGCTCTGGTGTGGGCTGGTCCATGAGGTCACAAAGAGTTGGAAGCGACTGAACAAATAAACAACAACATTTCATAATGTGGAAAGAAAACGAATATCCCAAACACTTTACTGGTGCATATAGTAGGGTCTACCTTATCCGACCTTCGCTCATCCAACATTTTGTATTATCCCACACAGTCTGCTTCCCACTTTGGTTGCTTGGACTATCCCAATCCCACACCCCAAGAGTCTCAGTGGAAAAATAAATGTTCTCCCTGAAAAGGATCGCATCCCCATTTGGTTCTATCTTCCATTTGTAACGGGTTATTTGGCAGTGTTGGGGCCCTTCCAGACAGGCCATATGTCCCCAAGATCTGATCCCAGGTTTTCTGCTTTAACCTGGATTATATTAGTCCCCACTGCCAGATAATCTGGGATAAACAGAAAACCTGGGATCAGATCCTGGGATATAGGACCTGTCTGGAAGGGTCCTATGTCATTGTGTGATGTTATGTTATCCTTCTCAATCACATGTTTGCTGTCTAAACCCAAATCCAGTCAATCTTTCCTGTGCAATAAATAATACAAAAATTTCCCTAAAATCCACATGTTATGTCAATATTTGTTTCAGCTGAAGGAAATGAACCTGAATGTCAGCAACTGTAGCCAAGATGTCGAAGATGGCATCCACAAAGTCTTGGATCTCAAATGCAAACTGCCAGCCTTAGAGATTGATTTACAAGCCCAACATAATATGGTAAGGGATATGGGAGTCTTGAAGTCCTCGTGGAGTCCTCGTGGACAACAAGTTAAACGTGAGCCAACAATGTGATGTGGCGGCAAAAAAAGCCAATGGGATTTTGGCCTGCATCAATAGGAGCATAGTGTCTAGATCTAGGGAAGTCATGCTACCCCTCTATTCCGCTTTGGTCAGACCACACTTGGAATAGTGTGTGCAATTCTGGGCATCACATTTGAAGAGAAATATTGACAAGCTGGAATGTGTCCAGAGGAGGGTGACTAAAATGATCAAGGGTCTGGAGAACAAGCCCTATGAGGAGCGGCTTAAAGAGCTGGGCATGTTTAGCCTGAAGAAGAGGAGGCTGAGAGGGGATATGATAGCCATGTATAAATATGTGAGAGGAAGCCACAGGGAGGAGGGAGCAAGCTTGTTTTCTGCTTCCCTGGAGACTAGGACGCGACGCGGAACAATGGCTTCAAACTACAAGAGAGGAGATTCCATCTGAACATTAGGAAGAACTTCCTGACTGTGAGAGCCGTTCAGCAGTGGAACTCTCTGCCCTGGAGTGTGGTGGAGGCTCCTTCTTTGGAGGCTTTTAAACAGAGGCTGGATGGCCATCTGTCAGGGGTGATTTGAATGCAATATTCCTGCTTCTTGGCAGGGTGTTGGACTGGATGGCCCATGAGGTCTCTTCCAACTCTTTGATTCTATGATTCTATGGGAATGGGGAGCATCATACTGCTATAGCTTTGGTTTTTAGAGCAGTACTTGGGTAAAAGTAGATTCAGAACCCACTGGTAGATCTCTTGGTGATTTTCAATTTGAGTAACAGCATCAACCTGATGACTCCCTTTCCCTCGAGATATATTCCAACTCCTCCAATGCGACTATGCTATTATATTCCTGTCTCAGAATCTCTTCATTTCAATAGGGTCTATCATTCTCTGTGGCTTTGTGTATACACATGAAACTGAGGGAACGTATCCTCTGTGGATACAGGGAGTCATACTGTATTGGAATGATGTAGCATAGGTGAGGACTTTGTACCTGGATCCGTGTGCTAATGCAATACTGTTGCAAATTGGTATTACGGCGATGTCACTTGTGCCTTCCTCTCTGGTATAGCTAGTAGGGGTGTGTGATCCATTTAAAAAAATGGTTCAAAATTAATTACAAAACCAGGGTGGGTGGGCTGGCGCTTCATTTCTAAATTGTTTCTAAATGGCACTTGGTAAAAATTTCATTACTATAATGAGACTAACGAAATTTCATTACTACTTTGTTACAGTAATTGCACATGTGCATATTTAAATTACTATAATTAGGGATACTTCAGGGGCTCCTTTCTCCTTCATTTTAAAGCTATTGGAGGGAAACTTACCACAATGGTAGAACACATTTACCACTGTTAACTCACCAAAGTTCAGAACATTTCAATTAACCATGGATTTTGGGGGAAATTTCAAAGTTTTTATTTAAAAATTATTTTTGAAAATCTGCAAGAGCTATCTCTTTGAATTTTCTATACAGTGACAGAAGGAAACAGGGGATCATTCCCCCCAACTTTCAGAAATATTCATAATCTATTGATTTTAGGGATTTTAAAAAAAGTTTTGACAAAAATATTTTTTTTACAAAGCCACAATAGTCAACTCATTGAATGTTTTTCATATTAACCAATAGACACCAATATTAATCAATTCTACATTTTCATAGAATCCTACAGTTGGAAGGGAACTCCCGAGAGCCATCTAGTACAACCCCCTTCTTCCAGGCAGAAGGACACCATCAAAACTACTAGCAGATGGCCACCCAGGCTCTAAACTAATTAATTTATATAGTTTATAGTATGTGGGCCATCTATTTATGGATTTCTTCCCAGTCCAGCACAGAGATTTACTTACTAGAAGTATCTGTTAGTCCTCCTCCTTGCAGATTTAAACCACTCATTGGAACTCTCACTGGCTGCTGTTAGGGAGGGACAGATCTATCTCTCCTCTACCTTGATTGGAGCTTTCTTATTCATTCTGGGAAATGTAGTTTAGGGCAGGACATTTTGAATTCTCTGGCATAGGGCTCCTCTTTTCACAAACTACATTTCCCAGAATTCTGTGCTGTTCCCATAAAACACTGCTCCTTCTGTTCCCCTCTTTTAATGGTGAGGGAGAGGCCATTAATTTACAGAGGAAAGGCAAGGTAGGTGCCAGGCATGTAGCGGGGGGGATTGAGGGGCTTCAGCCCCCTCCCCCCGAAATTCTCATGGTGGTTCGCGAAAAGGCCTTACTGGTGCATTATTTAACCTGTTATGTTTATTCATATCATGATCTGATCACCATACTCAATATATCCCATATGCATGGGGGTATTGGGGTAATGATACAAAAGGTTTGCTAGGCTAGACCCTCTTTCACTCAGACTCAGCCCCCGCCCCGAAACTCAGCCCCCCCCCCCCAGAATCGAAATCCTGGTTACGGGCCTGGTAGGTGCTAAGCCAGCTTTTCTGGCTTTGCTTTTTCATCTTTGCCTCCTTGCACTGAATATGAAACTTACTTTAGGAGCCTTCTGAGATTTACAAAACTAAAATGAAAAACATATGGGGTAATTTTGAATTACTTAATTTTTGGCACAGATCATGCATGCATGTCGGATATTGCATCATAACCACAAATGATACAAAATTGATCCGACATACAATGCTTTCCAATTTTTTTTGCACATACCTAAAAGTTAGTTACTTGGTGAAGTCTCTGATTTTTAACCTATTAAGGTTTCTCTGTTATTTTTATATGGAACTAGCAGTCCCCTGCCATGTGTTGCTGTGTCCCAGTCTGTGTATATGTGCTTTGTGTGTATATATATTTGTGTATATGTGTGTATATATGTGTGTTTGTGTGTATATATGTGGTTTTGTGCATGCGTTATAATGTAACTTTTGTTTTTTGCCTTTTTAAGTCTTTTCTGTTGTGTTTTTCAGTGTTTTTATGAGTGATGGTCACTTGTTGTCCTGCTACGTGTATTGTGTACAAATTTGATGTCAATTTGTCCAGTGGTTTTTGAGTTATGTTAATCCCACAAACAAACATTACATTTTTATTTATATAGATTGTTTTATACTGTTCATATTGTGTTAATCATGTGTTGCATTGAAATCTCATGATAGAGAATGATAGAAATATTTTAATACATGGATAGATGCTGAGAGAGAGAGGAAGACAAAAAGAAAGAGACTGAATTAGTTACTTTCTGGGCAACTTTCAGTTCAAAAGACAGCTCATCCATCATGTACAGTTAATCTATACAATAGTTTTGCTTTCTTCTCTCTCTCCCACCCCATCCTCACCCCTTGACACAGAGAGATACACTGCAAGTCTGCTTAGATGAAATAGAATGTCACTTCCAGACTCAGCTTGGTGAAATGCAGGAGCAGATCTCCAACATGGAGCATCAGTTGACAGAACTACACTTGGAAATGGAGACTCAGGATCAGGAATACAAAGGGCTCCTGGATGTCAAAAAACGACTAGAGCAAGAGATCCAGACTTATAGCAGCCTGCTCAAAGAAGGGCAGAAAGACGGTGTGTAAGTAGAGTGTACATGGGTCAAAAATGACCACATGAGAATGTGGTCCTGTCATCAGAAGTTGCCCACATTTCTGGTAGGAACTAAAAATAAAACACATAGCCTAAGCATCTATACACTTTTAGTACAGTTTGCTGGGAGTGGAAAGAGAAGGAAAGTGAGCAGAGGTGGACAGGGGAAAAGAGAGATTGACAATTATGATGGATTCTAAGATAGAAAAAAAGAGCTTGGTGCTACATCTGGCTGGTTTCAGCCTCATCCACCATTGACGTCCAGCCAGAAAGATCTCCCCTCACATAGGAACGGACTCTTCTACCGAAGAAATATTTTTGGTATTTCTTTATAGTGCTCATCCATTTATGAATATTGCTATCATACCTGATGTTTATTGGTTTTGCACTTCACTGGTCTCAATTTGGGATGCCACCCCCTGTGTATGTGTTCATTTATCATAGGATGAAACCTCTGCAGACACTTTAAACTCTGGATTGTATACACAATAAAGGAACCAATCTTAGGGAATAAAACATGCGTATGTGTAACTCTTTAAAAAGACAGTTAGTTTTTGCACTCCTTTAGCAGATTAGGGAATAAAACATGATGGGTAGTACATGATCACGTAAGCTATAATATTTTGTAGGGTTTTTGGTTAATTTTCCGTTTCTGAATATTTTTTAAAAATACCTGTCTTTTATTCTCAAAAAAACAAAAACAAAAAATATTCTAAAAAAAGAAAAGACTCTTCTGTTGCTGTGTGCTCTCGTTTGCCCTGTCTCGTGGCTGTGTTTGGTCCACATCAGGGCCAGTTTTTGGTTAATTTTCCATTTCTGAATATTTTTAAAAATACCTGTCTTTTATTCTTAAAAAAAACAAAAAATATTCTTAAAAAAGAAAAGACTCTTCTGTTGCTGTGTGCTCTCGTTTGCCGTGTCTCGTGGCTGTGTTTGGTCCACATCAGGGCCAGTTTTTGGTTAATTTTCCATTTTGAATATTTTTTAAAAATACCTGTCTTTTATTCTTAAAAAAAAACCAAAAAATATTCTAAAAAAGAAAAGACTCTTCTGTGCTGTGTGCTCTCATTTGCCCTGTCTCGTGGCTGTGTTTGGTCCACATCAGGGCCAGTTTTTGGTTAATTTTCCATTTCTGAATATTTTTTAAAAATACCTGTCTTTTATTCTTAAAAAAAAACAAAAAATATTCTAAAAAAAGAAAAGACTCTTCTGTTGCTGTGTGCTCTCATTTGCCCTGTCTCGTGGCTGTGTTTGGTCCACATCAGGGCCAGTTTTTGGTTAATTTTCCATTTCTGAATATTTTTTTAAAAATACCTGTCTTTTATTCTCAAAAAAAACCCAAAAAATATTCTAAAAAAAGAAAAGACTCTTCTGTTGCTGTGTGCTCTCCTTTGCCCTGTCTCGTGGCTGTGTTTGGTCCACATCAGGGCCAGTTTTTGGTTAATTTTCCATTTCTGAATGTTTTTTAAAAATACCTGTCTTTTATTCTCAAAAAAAACCCAAAAAATATTCTAAAAAAAGAAAAGACTCTTCTGTTGCTGTGTGCTCTCCTTTGCCCTGTCTCGTGGCTGTGTTTGGTCCACATCAGGGCCAGTTTTTGGTTAATTTTCCATTTCTGAATATTTTAAAAAAATACCTGTCTTTTATTCTTAAAAAAAACAAAAAATATTCTAAAAAAGAAAAGACTCTTCTGTTGGTGTGTGCTCTCGTTTGCCCTGTCTCGTGGCTGTGTTTGGTCCACATCAGGGCCAGTTTTTGGTTAATTTTCCATTTTGAATATTTTCTAAAAATACCTGTCTTTTATTCTTAAAAAAAACCAAAAAATATTCTAAAAAAGAAAAGACTCTTCTGTTGCTGTGTGCTCTCGTTTGCCCTGTCTCGTGGCTGTGTTTGGTCCACATCAGGGCCAGTTTTTGGTTAATTTTCCATTTTTGAATATTTTTTTAAAATACCTTTCTTTTATTCTTAAAAAAAAAAAAAAATATTCTAAAAAAAAAGACTCTTCTGTTGGTGTGTGCTCTCGTTTGCCCTGTCTCGTGGCTGTGTTTGGTCCACATCAGGGCCAGTTTTTGGTTAATTTTCCATTTCTGAATATTTTCTAAAAATACCTGTCTTTTATTCTAAAAAAAACCCAAAAAATATTCTAAAAAAGAAAAGACTCTTCTGTTGCTGTGTGCTCTCCTTTGCCCTGTCTCGTGGCTGTGTTTGGTCCACATCAGGGCCAGTTTTTGGTTAATTTTCCATTTCTGAATATTTTTTAAAAATACCTGTCTTTTATTCTCAAAAAAACCAAAAAATATTCTAAAAAAAGAAAAGACTCTTCTGTTGCTGTGTGCTCTCCTTTGCCCTGTCTCGTGGCTGTGTTTGGTCCACATCAGGGCCAGTTTTTGGTTAATTTTCCATTTTGAATATTTTTTAAAAATACCTGTCTTTTATTCTTAAAAAAATACAAAAAATATTCTAAAAAAGAAAAGACTCTTCTGTTGGTGTGTGCTCTCGTTTGCCCTGTCTCGTGGCTGTGTTTGGTCCACATCAGGGCCAGTTTTTGGTTAATTTTCCATTTTTGAATATTTTTTAAAAATACCTGTCTTTTATTCTTAAAAAAAACCAAAAAATATTCTAAAAAAAAAAGACTCTTCTGTTGGTGTGTGCTCTCGTTTGCCCTGTCTCGTGGCTGTGTTTGGTCCACATCAGGGCCAGTTTTTGGTTAATTTTCCATTTTTGAATATTTTTTAAAAATAATATTAAAAATAATATTAAAAATAATATTAAAAATAATATTAAAAAATAATATTAAAATATTTTAAAATGGAAAATTAACCAAAAAATGGCCCAAATGTGGACCAAACACAGGCAAGAGACAGCAAATGAAGCAAGCAGCACTCACAGCAGCAAGGAATGAATCCAATCCCAGTTGCTAGCAGCCATTGCCAAGCCAACCCAATGCAAACTCCCTCGCCCTCTGCAGCAAGCTACGGGCCGCGCGGAGCCGCTTTGAAAGGGCTCGCCGGCCAATCAAAACAGACAGCCACGGACCCATGGTGCACTGCTTGGGAGCGCCGGATTGGCTCCCAGGCACCAGCACTCCAGCAGCCTCCACCCCATTAACGAAACGAGCGGAGGCTCGTTAAAACTATGGGGGTTGCTGGTTCGATATTTAAAAACCCTTCCGGGTTTGGAAATATGTTTCAATATCGCTTCGGAAATGCCAAAAATAACGAATTAATAACGAATTAACGAATTAACGAACGAAACCGCACAGGCCTACTGTCTTTATTTATTTATTTATTTATTTACTCTATTTGTATACCGCATATATCAGCCTGAGGCGGCGACTCAATGCGGTTTACAATAAAAAACAACACTAAACAATGTATGAGACACACAATACAGACAAACACATAATCATCAACGCCACACTTAGAATCAGATTCCGATCTCAAAATCCTTTTTCCATTCCTTGTCCGATGCCGTCATTATTGAGTTAATTGCCAAAAGCCTGCTCGTAGAGCCACGTCTTCACCCTCCTCCGAAACACCAGTAACGAAGGGGCCTGCCTGATGTCCACCGGTAACGCATTCCATAGCCGAGGGGCCACCACCGAGAAGGCCCTGTCTCTCGTGCCCGCCAGCCGCACTTGTGACGCCGGCGGAACCGAGAGCAGGGCCTCCCCGGAAGATCTTAACGCTCTTCCCGGTTCGTAGGAGGAGATGCGTTCGGAGAGGTAAGTGGGGCCGGAACCGTCTTAAAAAAAATCAATAAATACTCTAAAAAAAGAAAAGACTCTTGTGTGCCTGCCTGTGTGTGCGTTTCCCCCGTCTTGTGGCTGTTGGCTCCACTGCGGGGAGAGCATTTGGTTAAGTTTCCATTTCTGAATATTTTTTAAAAATACCTGTCTTGTGTCTTTTATTCTTAAAAAAAATCAAAAAAAATTCTAAAAAAAGAAAAGAATCTTGTGTGCCTGTGTGTGCGTTTCTCATTTGTGTAGTTCCAACCAGTGCGCTCCTTTTGCCAACACAAAGTGCTATATAATACAGTGCTCGCTCATTATTTGTGTAGTTCCAACCAGTGCGCTCCTTTTGCCAACACAAAGTGCTATAATACAGTGCTCGCTCATTATTTCTGTAGTTCCATCCAGTGCGCTCCTTTTGCCAACACAAAGTGCTACACATACACTGCTCGCTCATTATTTGTGTAGTGAACCATTGTGATGAAACGCTTCCTTCCTGGCTTTTCTAGTCGCAAGGGCCAAGTGCTATCGCGAATACCAAAGAAAGGCAGGGGACTGAAGATGGACACATTGAGAAGAAGGGAACATTCAACCGACGAGATGGTTATTGAAACACCCACAGGTGCTTCAACCAGCTGTGAGATGGCAGGACCTCCTCCTTATTCCTCAGTTCGAAAGACTCTACGTTCAGATCCTGATGTCCTTCCAAGTACCTCTGATCCTACTTGTTATGAAGAGGGCGAGGAGGCGGACGTGTCTGAGGAATGGGAGGAAGACAATATGGAATCTGCTTCCACCACAGGAATTAGTGATCAAGAGGACTGCATGGTGCTGGAGGGCGAGCCACAGAAACAACCAACAATCCCTTCCACAAACACCGACAGTCCAAACACGAGCATGAGTACATCTCAAGTGCGTAGTAGGGGTAGGCCGAGATCGCTCCTATGGGATCATTACGACGTCCATAATCAGAAGGCCACTTTGGCAGTTTGCAGGCATTGCGGTGTGAGCGTCAGCAGAGGAAAAGATATGAGGCATCTTGCCACAACAGGGCTAAGGATGCACATAAAGAGACACCACCCAAATGTGAAGTTGGACGCAGTTGAAGTCGCCAGCACATGCAGCAGTACACAGAGCACTCCAAACACACCAACAGGCCCCATGCAGAAAACCATCGATGCTTGGGGCCTGCAAGTTACAAGGGTGAGATCTGGATTTAGGCCGCCATCAGTGAAGGAAATAACACGTCGCCTGGGAGAGATGATGGCTCTGGACCACCAGCCCTTCCGTATGGTGGAACGGGAAGGTTTCCGCCGATTTGTTCACCTCCTGGCACCATGGTACAATATCCCAAGTCGCAGAACTTTCTCTCGATCAGTCATTCCCGCTTTGTTCGAGGGATGCAAGCAACGTCTCAGAACCCTG